ATGCCTGTAATTCTGGCTACTCGGAAGGCTGAGGCAGAAGGATCGCCGGATCCCAGCAGGCCGAGGCTGCGGTGGTCGGGAATGGCCACTGCACTTGTCTGGGCGACAGAGTGAGACTCCAACTCAAAAAAAAAAAAAAATTTCTTCTGAATACATGTCTTTTTTGCAAATATTTTCTCCAATCTGGGTTTTAGATCTCTAAGCAGTGTGCTTTGCAGAGCAGAAGTTTCTAAATTTTGATGATATCCAGTTTTATCAATGTTTTAAAAATGGAGTGGGCTTTTGGTGTTGTACCTAAGAAATCTTGCTTAGCCCAGTGTCACAGAGATTTTCTCCTAGAAATGTTATATTTTTACATTTTAGTAGAGAGGTTGGCAGATTCTTTTCTGCCAAGAACCAGATGGTAAATATTTTCGACTTTGTGGGCCATAAGGTTGCTACTACTTGACTCTGTTATTGTAGCACAAAGCCAGCCATGACAATACATAAACAAATGAGATTGGCTGTGTTCCAGTAAAACTTTATAACAACAGGTGGTGGGCTGCGTTTGTCTCACAGGCCAAGGAGTATAGATCTCTGCTTTAGGAGATACACTTTTTACACCAGGCATAGAGAACACCCCATACTGTACAAAAAGAATGCGGTCACTGTTTTCTGTTTCACCATCTGTGGAAGTAGGGTGAGGGTAAAAGCAGAAGAGAAAGGGCGAGGAGAGCGAAGGATAAAGAAAAAAAGGAAAGAAGAGAAATGTTGGAATTGCGTTTTGGGCAAACTTCAGAGTGCATTTTAATTCTTTTATTATTTATATTTTTTTCTGCTGGTGCATTGATCTTAGAATAATTTTCAGAGTTAATCCTTGTGCTGTTTCTCACGCTTCAGCAGATGTTTTTGTTTGTTTGTTTTTGAACTAATGATCTCTTGGCCGTAGATGCTTAACAGATTCATGGAGTTTTTCAAGATTAAACTCTCTTTTTTTTTTTTGAGTTGGAGTCTCTGTCACCCTGACTGGAGCGCAGTGGCCGCTCCTGGCCACCGCAGCCTCAACCTGCTGGGCTCCGGCGATCCTTCCGCCTCAGCCTTCTGAGTAGCCGGAATTACAGGCATGCCCGGCTGATTTTTTGATTTATTATAGAGATGAGGTCTCACTGCCCAGGTGGGTCTTGAACCCTGGGCTCAGGCAAGGATTAAACTCTTGATCCTAGTGATCCTGTGTTTTCTACTGAAAACATATCTAAAAGCCATTTGCTGCTAATGTGTATTTAGGTGACGTTCAGTTTTATACTTTTACAAACTATAGGGTAGTGTGTTCTTTGCACACAGTTACTTGCACTTATGTGATTATTTCTGTAGAAAAGATGCCTACAGTTTTGAGTCAAAGGGTGGTGTTCACATTAAGCATTTTGGTTGACACAGCCCAGTTCTGCTGTCAAAGGTTGTACTGTCTCACACTCAGGTCAGTTGGATGAGGTTGTCTTCCCTTTATCTTACTTTCGTGTATTTTATTCCATTTGCCTGGCAGAAAGTAGCATCTCATTTTTATTTTGCATTTTTCTCATTATTTGTGAAGCTGAACCTCTTTTCCTGGACTTATTAACCGTTTGAGTTGTGGGCATCTGTAAGGTGCTGTTCATATGCCTTGTCTATTCCTGTCTTGGTGCCATATCTCCCCCTCCCCCTTTATTAATTTGTAGGTGTTCTGCACCAAATTTCCTCAATACCAGAAGTTTTGACTTTTGGGGCTGGATAATTTTTTTTTTTTTTTTTTGAGTTGGAGTCTCACTCGGTCGCCCAGACTGGAGTGCAGCGGCCGCTCCCGGCCACCGCAGCCTCGACCTGCTGGGCTCCGGCGATTCTTCCGCCTCAGCCTTCCGAGTAGCTGGAACTACAGGCGTGTGCTACCACACCCGGCTCATTTTTGATTTATTGTAGAGATGAGGTCTCGCCAAGTTGCCTAGGTGGGTCTCGAACCTGTGGGCTCAGGCAGTCCACTCACCTCGGCCTCCCAAAGGCACGGGATTACAGACTAAGTCACCGAGCCCGGCTGGCAAGCTTTTTTTAAAGGAGGCTGAGGGCTCATGACCACAGGCACTGGGTGTTCAGACGTAACCCAGAGCTGAGGAGAGGGATGTGGGGAGGGAGTGGGCTGCCCGTGGAGCCTCCAGGCAGGTGGATGTCCATGGGGCGACTACTTGTGTGTTTAGAGACAGGATTGGGTGGGACAGGCAGCTGCACACAGCACTTTGGAGCAAGTCCAGTGTGCCGTGTACCTTCAGAAGGATGGGCCTGGTGTTCTTCACCGCATTGGTCCAGACACTTCTCCAAACCTTCACTGGCTCTGATGTTTGTCACTGAAAGGAAAGACTTCTGCAGCTACGAAAGGCACTTCAAAGCCTGCATGCTATGAAGACTGAGTTGCTCTAACCTGTAGGAAAATCCTAATCTCTTTCAGGCTCAGATACTGCAGCTTGGGAATAAATGGGTGCAGAGGACCATTGCCTCCCTGCTTGGTGACAGAGTGTCTGGGCTGGGGTGCTCTGGGACACATCCCAGGCTCTGGAAACGGGCAACAACAGCCGGAAATCTTTGGCATACCCTTGAGAGACAATTCAAATGTTTTTTAACAGGATCTAAAATTGTGGTGCTAGAATTGTTGTAGGTTTCTTTGAAGCCCTCTTAGTGAACTTGGTTGAACTTGAGGTTGTTCCATTTTGTGTTTGTGTTCACAGACTTTATTTATTATTATTATTATTATTATTTATTAATTTATTTATTTTTTGAGTTGGAGTCTCACTCTGTCGCCCAGACTGGAGTGCAGTGGCCGCTCCTGGCCACCACAGCCTCAACCTGCTGGGCTCCGGCAATCCTTCCACCTCAGCCTTCCGAGTAGCTGGAATTACAGGCGCGTGCTACCATGCCCGGCTAACTTTTTGATTTATTGTAGAGATGAGGTCTTGCCTGCTTAGGCGGGTCTCGAATCTGCGGGCTCAGGCAGTCCACTCACCTCAGCCTCCCAAAGGCGTGGGATTACAGGCTGAACCACCGAGCCCGGCTTATTTATTATTTTTAAATGGACTTTATTTATTTTTTGAGTTGGAGTCTCACTCTGTCGCCTAGACTGGAGTACAGTGGCATGCTCCCGACCACTGCAGCCTCGGCCTGCTGGGCCCCGGCGATCCTTCCGCCTTAGTCTTCCAAGTAGCCAGAACTACAGACAAGCACTACCATGCTCGGCTAATTTTTTATTTTTTGTGGAGGCAAGGTCTCGCCAAGTTGCCCAGGTGAGTCTCGAACCCGCGGGCTCAGGCAGTCCACTCGCCTCAGCCTCCCAAAGCGCGGGATTATAGGCTGAGCCACCGAGCCCGGCTTAGACTTTATTTTTTAGAGCAGTTTTAGGTTTATAGAAAAATTGTGAAGAAATTACAGTGAGCTCCCATGTACCCTTCCCTCAACACATAATTTCCGCATAATTAGCATCTTGCATTCATGTGGTAAAGCAACATTGATACATCATCACCTTTTGACTAACTAAAGCCTGTAATTTGTATTCGGGTTCACTCTTTGTGGTGTTCATTCTATGGGTTTGGACAACCACATATTGTCCTGCAGCCACTGTTACATTTTCACACAGAAGCTTTTTGCTGCCCTGTAAGTCTCCTGCACTCAACTATTCATCACTCCCCACCCCACAACCACTGATCTTTTTACTGTCTCTGTAGTTTTACCTTTCCAGAAGGTCAAATCGTTGGAATCATACAGCATATAGCCTTCCGAGACTGTTTTACGCTTAGCAGTGTGCACTTAAAAGCTCCTTCACATCTGCTAGTGGTTTCATAGTGACCATCTTTTTATCATGGAAAAATACTCTGCTGTGTGGATGAACGGTACAAATGGAGTTTGTTTATCCATTCACCCACTGGAGGACATCCTGATTCCTTCCACATTTTGGCAATTACGAATAAAGTCATTGTAAATGACCATGTGCAGGTTTTTATGTGGCCAGAAGTTGAGTGTAAAATGTAGAAAAGAAGTTTCTAAATACAAATGCAGTCACCAGTATCACCTTCATATTCTGCTGTGTGAACTTTTGAAATTTACTTGGTCTCTTTTTTCTTTGCAGATTTTTGAAAAATACAATGTCTAATGGTTATGAAGACCACATGGCCGAAGACTGCAGGGGCGACATCGGGAGAACGAATTTAATCGTCAACTACCTCCCTCAGAACATGACCCAGGATGAGTTACGAAGTCTGTTCAGCAGCATCGGGGAAGTCGAATCTGCAAAGCTCATTCGGGATAAAGTAGCAGGTAAAGACACAGAGATGTTTTGTGAAGCAGGTATCGGTGACTGTCGTGTCAGGCACCATCTCCTCCAGTGACTCTGTGGCATTCTTCAGGGCAGGTTTGCTGCAGTCTTGAGACTGTGCTGTGCACTTTCAGTTGATCTCCATCTGTCTTTCTACTGTCCTCGTATAAGATTGGACATAGGTTCCCAGGGAGGAGAAACTCATTGCAAGACAGAGATCATGTTCAAAACAAGACAATGGGCAGGGAGGAACAATGCAGAGCCCAGAGACGTGGTCACTCAGAACTAGAAGGGGCCAAAGAATGACCTCCTGGCTGACTTAGTCTGCATCGGGTGGTCAAGTTTCACATGTGGAAGGGTCCCTGGTATATGCCCGCCTGGGCCAGATGCAGGCAAGTGCGTCCCTGTCTGCCCGGCCCTCATTCATGGTCAGGCCCGGGTTAGCAGCGCATTGAGGACCATGTGGACCACTCTGTTTACTGTCATGCCATCCACTTGAATTCTGCCCACATTGAGCTTGGAGTCTCTGCGGGGAGGAGCTGGGCAGCGGAAAGCCCCACTCTTTTACTCCCTCTCAGCGTGACTTCTGGTCTTCTGTGTCCCCCTCCATAAAGTGAGGATAGTGGCTCCTACATCCTGATGGTACCCCTTCGTAGGTGTTTGCAGAAGGCCTGGTACCTGTGAAGGCCCTCCTCACAGGTGGCCTCCGTTCTGAGAGCATGGCTTCCAGGACTGGGGTGGGGGGATATGGAAAGACTTGATGTTGGTCTCTTCTGCTCCTCCTCTCCCTGCAACTCCTCCTTCCTCTTCCCCCCATCACCCCTTTTCCTGTTTGTCTCTGCTCTGCTTTGGCAAGCCAAGGAATGGGCAGTCCTCAGGGAGGCTCTGCTGTCGCTCTGGCTATTGAGACTATGATTTCTATGCGGAATACTAATTTAAAAGTTTTAAAAAACTCACTTCTCTCATAGGAGTTTCAAGCATACATGAACATTGAACCTGATGCACCCGTCATCCTACTTTGTTGCTTTCATCATTTCCCCAGCAACGTGAAGTTGCCTGACCCTGGACAACCCTGTAGAGCTTGTATGATGGCTGCACCAGGAATTAGCTCATTGGCTGGGGGCACTGAACCCAAAAGTCTTCTGTCTTCCAACTCCAAGAGTCTGTGGTTTAATAAACACCTTCTAAACAGGGACTTTAGATAATATGAAAACTTGAACAGTGTTAAAATGTTCTAGAAGCCACCATCTCTCTCCTATTCAGGAGACCAACCTGAATAAGAGTGTCCTGTTCAGGGGTTTTTAATTCTCCTGGTCTTGCTATTCTTCTCTTATATTCTGGTGGAAGGGAATTTTCAGCCCCATTGATACCCTGATTTTACAAGCATTCTCATGAACTTACAGTCATTCTCATGGTACCTGACGTCTTTGTGTGTTTACTTTTTGTGGTTTTCAAAGGAATGTGAGCTATGCTAATAGGAACACCTAGATTTGGCAAGATCAATCCAGAGAAAACTGATTTTGAGAACCAGTGAAGGCAGCAAAGCTGTAATTTGGAAATTATTTCAGTTCAGAGATAAGCCTTACTTCTGGGCAGTCATTAGTGTCCCAGGAGTCGGGCGCAAGTGTGCTGGGGCTCACACTTGGGTTTAGCCTCTTGCCCGTAATGCTTTAAACTGAGTAAATGGAGCTTTATGGAAAACATCCTGCCCAGTGTGTGAAAATTTCCTTGTGGCTGGGCCCAGGGCCGGGAACTCACCTCTCACTGCCCCTTTGTCCTTTGGTTACTCCGCTCTGGTGAAAACCCTGGCCGTTTGCTTCCTGCTGCCAGAGCTCACGCCGCCCACCCAGCAGGAAAGCCTCTCACCCAGTCAGACAGGCACCCTGGTAAATCAGATCCCTATCCCAGCTCAGCTCAAAACATGGGTGTCCTCGTCTCCTATTGCTACCGTTTTTGTGTGTCTTCCCTCTTCAGGCCTCCAAGAGCTGATGACCGCCTCAACTTGATCATGGAGCTGACATTGGCTTCACCTCTGCCCTGTCCTTCCTTCTTTCCCAGCTTCCCAGGAACCTCCAGCTATCCAAGTGTCCACTTTCCTAGGTCTCTCTAGGATTGCACTGTCAGCGTCCAAACATGCTCTTGTTTCCACTGTCATGGCAAGAATCCTTTCTAGTTCCCTGACTTCCTCTAACTCACATTTTCTCTAGTCTGCACTGCTGACGTTCAGAACTAGATGCTGTGCTGAACACTCTGTGGGGAGCAATGTCCCTGGCCTCCACCCATAGGATCCCAGTAGGCCTTCAGAGTTGTGGAATCAAAACGCGTCCACAGACACTGCCACGCATACTGGGGAGGCAGATTCCTCCCCGGTGAGAGCCACTGCTCTGTATGTTGTCTTTCTGTCTACACACTGTCACGTTCCCTGTCGCTACCTCCTGCTAGAAGCATTCTCTTCACCCATCCGTCCTCCTACGCCTGAGGCTATCCTGTCTCTAGCAGAAGGTTCTTTTCCCAGCGCTGGACTGAGGTGGGCCTTGGAACTACTGTGTGACGCACTTCTTCCAAAACCTGTGCTCAGGGCAGCAAGTTCACGCCCGTAGCCTACATGCACCGTCCGTTGCCACCTCTTTTCACACCAGGAGAGAGGCCCCTCAGCACCTCAAATTCTATGTGTCCCAAACTGATCTTTATTCTCCCACAAGCCGGCCACTCATTTCCAGGGTCCTCGTCTTAGTGAATGGCACTACTGTCCGCTCAGTGGCTTCTGACACATGTCCCAGGCATGTGTCCTCCTATGTGTTTCTTCATTTCACCCCTTTTCCTCATCTCCCCAGCCACCCTCCTAGTCCAGGACACCACCACCTTTAGCCTGCACTGTCACTTTGGACTCTTAACTAGTGCCCATGCTCCCTCCAGATCGTTTTCCCCACTGCAAATGGGCCTTCTAAGAGTCCACCTGTGACCCTTTTGCTCCACTCCTCTAAAACGTTTCAGGTCCCAGCTGTGTGCGCTTGGGTGTGTCAGTGTTAGATGTTCTGCTGTGGGTTCCCATAGCAACCAGGCAGACCTGCACTGTGGGGTTTCCACACTGCACCGAGGTTGGGACTTCCTCATCCAGTGTGTCAATATCATTTCCAAAGACAGGAGCCTTATTAATCTCCGTAGCCCCAGATATAGCCACAGTCAGTGTGTATTGAGTGAATGAATGAATGAGTGATTGGTGCTAGGGTTGAAGGAGAGTGCAGATCAGCATGGGTATTTATTCTTAAGCAGATGTTTGTTGAGTGCTGATCATGGGTGGGCACTGGTGACAGGAGGAAGGAGGGACATGGTGGTGGCTGGGATGAAGGATGTCCCATGTGCTGAACTCAAGATTCGGAGTTTTCTGGCTGGCCTGAACCCCGTGTTGGGTACATGGTGTTGGCTGTTCCACTCACAAATGCTAGCTAGGGAGGCTGCTGAATGTCCTGCTGTGCTGTACAGTGCTGTCCTGGGCAGCCCTGCCTCGCTTCTGGCCTCTGTGTCTGTTCTCTGTACAGTGGCCCCTTACAACCCACAGGGGTCAGGAGTCAACCCTCCACTCTGTGGTCCCAGCCTCCAGTTCACATGCTCAGCTTCGGTCTTGCTGTCATGTGCCTCTGGTGGGAATAAAGCCCACACCCCTACCTGTGGCTCCTAAGGCCCCTGGTCGCCTGCCCCTTCCTTCCCATCCGCTGCACACCCTACCCTGCCTCCTGTCTGCTGTACTGAGCTGCTTGTCACTTCCCAGACTCTTACCGTCTTGTGATTCCTGCAGGAATGCCCTTCCATACTGTCAGTCTGACAGCCTTTCTCTTAATAGGAGTCATCTTTCTTTCTCATAGAAAAAAATTTAAGCATGAGACAAATAGGGAAAAAAAACCCTTAAATAACCCCTTATCACACCACTGTTAGCTTTTGGGTGTGGGTCCTTTGTGATGTTTTTCTTTATATATTTGTAGCTATAAAAAATCTTGTGCTTTTCCAGAATAGGCTCGCTTTGCCCCCAAGCTGCGCAGTCAACTTTTCTTCCTGTATTTGAGAATTCTTCACTGAGCTTGGTTCTGTCCCATCATCATCGTGAGGCATAGTCATCTCCCTTCCGGGTTTTCCGTGTTGGCCCCACTGACATAAATATCCCAGCACACATCTTGTCTCACTGGTTATTTCCATGGAAGGTCTCATGGGCATGGAGCAGCAGATGGGAGAGCATGCCTTCTAAAGGTCCCCATCCCCAGCTCCGGGGGCTCCACTTCACCCTCTCTTTTTCCCCCACCCTACTGTCCCTGAGGCCTGGCAGGAGTCCTCATCTTTGCCAGCCTGGTGAGGTACTAGATCATGGTAGTAATTCGCATTTCTTGGGAAGTTCGTTTTTGTCTTCATCTGTTTCCTGGATGTTTATACTTCTTGTGTAAAATACCCTTATGTCCTTTGCCCGTTTTCCTTTCAGGGACCTTTGCTCTTTCTTATCACCTAGTTATTTCACTCCCCACCTCCCCACCGCCGGTCTCTGTCTTTTGGTGAAGTATTCCCTTGCACCCCCCAGAGACCTTTAAAGAAAGAACTCAGGCCAGGAGTGGTGACTCACGCCTGTAATCTCAGTACTTTGGGAGGCTGGGGCGGGAGGATCACTTAAAGACAGGAGTTTGAGACCAGCCTGGGATAGTGAGACCCTGTCTCTAAATAAACAAACAAAAAGAACCCACAGGACCTGCCCTCTCTCCTTGCAATGGAAGACCTTCTCACTTTCGCATCCCAGGTCAACGCAAGACTCTTCTAGCTCTGAGAAGCAGTAGGGGATGAAAGCATCATGTCTGGCAGCATGAGACAGAATGCCGAAGAATCACCTCTCTAGTCCCGACCCCTATCTAGAGAGAGAGGAAATGTATTTGGCCAGCATTCTCTCAGGGGGACACCCAGTAAGGCATGTGTGGGGTTCCCCTCAGAGGCAGCTTTGTCTTCTCCAAGGCAGCAGCTCTCAGGGTTCTGTCCCTTGCCCAGCAGCATCGTCTGGAGAAATGAAAGTCTCAGTCCCACCCAGCCCTCCTGAGTCAGCCGTGTGGGGTGTTTGAGGCATCAGCACCCCAGCCTTCCTGGAGAATGAAGGTAGTAATGCTGATGCTGGCAAGCCAGAGAACCAGAACCCAGGAGCTCTGCCTGTGGCAGAAGGCGTAGGGATGGGGCTCTCCCTAGAATTCTGGGAAGTAAGAGCTGGGGAAGCACTGGCTTCTGGGATATCCCTGGATCTCAGAGAGTTTCTGCGTCCTGCAGGCATCCCATCCCCTCTTTAGACCCCTCTTCCTTCATCTCCCTGCTTCCACCCTCTCCACCATATCTCCCATCCCCGGGGCCCTGGTTGCCTCCTAGCCCCAGTTCTAGTCAGGCCTATAGTGCTTCTGTGCCCCTCCTCCCCCACCTTCACCCTGTAGTCCACCTTCTCTTGGGGATACTCTTCCATCTCCTTGAAGGGGAGCAGCTCTGGCAGGCTCTCTGCCCCTAGTTCAGGTCAGGCATCCGTAAGGCGTCGGCAGTGCGGATTCTCATGCCTTTCTGACATCCTGGGTCCCGGCTGAGTAGGACTAGGGAACTGAGTCAGCACCCCACACTCTGAGTGCCCAGGTGCAACCGGCTTGTGGACCCTCCCTGGAGAAGCAGTAACTTGGGGGCTGCCACCCCTCTTCCTCTTGAGGCCTCCTCTCTGCACAGCCGTGGGCAGGCCTACTCCCCTTGTGCCAAGGAGCTTGAAAAACCACTGAGGCCATGGGCACCCAGACCCTCTCCCCCAGTGCTGAATTCAGGTATCTGGGCAGTAATGACTTTAAAAGCTGCCCAGGTCAGTCTGTAATGGAGGCAGGGGTAGGGTGGGCGGTCAGGGCTAGTTGAGGCTCTTCTAGTCTCAGACCTCCCCTAGTGGGTGAGAACCAGGACATTTTTGCTTTTTTACTCGCTGTTACCAGGTGCACATCATAGCAGGAGAGCAGACTCAATGGGACAGGGCCTAGTGGTGTGCATAGATTCCCTGTCCACCCAGGCCCTGGCCCCAGAAGGCTTGCTTGTGGGCACAGCAGAACCTGCCTCCTTCACGCTGTCTGAAGTCCTCTGGGCAGGTCCTCCCTCTACTCCCTGCGCCTCCCATGTGCACCAACTCACGGCATCCCCAGGCTCCACCCAGCTCCACTTCTGCTGCCCACTCTCTGCCCAGTGGCTGCCTTCCAGACCCTTCCTGGGCTCCTTCTACTCAACCTCCCTGGCCATGGCTCCTCTCCTGGAACACGCCAACATCATCTCCACCCCAGAGACTCCGTGCTTGCCCTTCTGTCTAGCCTGCTTGCGCCCAGCCATGGGGAGGAGGTCTAGGTTCAGATATCCTCTCCATCAAGGGCCCTCCTGACCACCCTTCTTACACAGCCTGTCCTCATAGCACCTAATGGGGGCTTTGTTCTCAAGGGTGTCCTCGTTCATTCCTCACCGGGGGTGTCTGACTTGCCCACAGGGATGTGACAACTTTTGCTAAGGAGGCGTCGTCCTTTGTCATGAGCATCACCAACCACTCAGCTGGGCACAGGGCCTGATGTACAGTATAGGTGCTCAGTTAATACGTCAGCTCATTGAGGAACTGGATCAGGGAAGGAGGCAGTGGCTGCCTGAGTGTGTATGACTTCCCCAGTGACATTGGCAGAGGTGGGCACATGCGTAGAAAGGAAGAGCCTATGGTGGAGGGAGGAACCAAAGGTGGGATGTTGGGGACCATCAGCCTCAGTGGAATGGGCAGAGGATGAGGAACCCGAAGAGGGACAGCCAGGAAGATAGAAGCCTAGTTGTTTCACATCCTGGAGGAAGAGACTTCCCAAGAGAGTGAACTGTACTTGGTGCTGCTGAGAGTGCAGGAGACAGGTCCTGAAATGGTCCTCAGGGCAGTGGGCACAATGAGGAGCCAGTCAGGGCCTCTGAGCGGTTGGGAGATGAGGAGGCAGGAACTTGGGCTGGGCAGGGACCATGTGTCTGTGCTGAGAGGAGCCAGCAGTGGCTGAAGACACAGGAACTGGCCGGGGGCACAAGTCCTTGCCGGTGGCTGTTTTTCCTGGGCAGCATTTAGGCCGCCTGAGGCACTGGCAGCGAAGGAGTCAGTGCCTCAGATGTCTGCATTCCCAGATTTGATATTGTTGTTGGGAGTCCTCGCAGAGGCCCTGATGCTTCCTACCTGGCTCCGTTCGTAGTTTTCTGAACTATGATCCTGACCATACTGGACCGGCCTGGCTGGGGAGTGGTCCTCTTGGACCCAGCCCCACAGCCTCGCCTGAAATTCTGGGTTTTCTTTTTGGCTATGAAGAACCCCAGTTTCCACATCCCTTACGACTCCCTGAACTTGAGCCATGGGCCCTGTCGTTCTCCAGGAGAAGCTCTGAGACATGGCAGGGCTGCCTGGCAGGGCCGAGGGTCTCAGCTCTGGACTCTTTTGAACACCCTGTCCTCTTCCTCCTCATAGCTAGACCAGGAAGCAGCGCTAGGTGGTGCTGGCAGGGCTTCCTGCTCTTGGGAAGGACATGGCCAAGAAACAGTGAGGACACAAACTGGCCGTTCCCTGGCTTACCCACTGCTTTGGTCCTCCTCATCTTCACCCACCAGGCCCTGCAGAGCGGCCAACACCCATGGGACAGGCTGTTCCAAAAGATGCAGTTGATAGCACAGCACTTCTTTTTAAATAACCTATTTTTTTATATTACAAAAATAACCTCTGTTCATTGCAGAGACTGTACATGTTTGCCAAAGAAAGAAAGTTTGCCAGTACCTATAATCCCATTCCCGGAGGTTGCTGCCCTACAGGCTTTAGTGTGTATCTGCTCTGGTAGCCTTCTGACCCCTGGCGGATATAGTCCTGCTTGACCTCCCTGTCTCCTCACTCACCGGGAGTCACTTACCAGTGTCCTCCTGTCCTCCCGCACAGGACACAGCTTGGGCTATGGTTTTGTGAACTACGTGACTGCAAAGGATGCGGAGAGAGCCATCAACACGCTGAACGGCCTGAGGCTCCAGTCGAAAACCATCAAGGTAAACGGGTCTGATCACACCCCTCCATTCTTGTCCCATCCAGGTCACTGTCGAGGGGCACAGCCACTCCTCAGGGCCCTCCTATCAGATGTGAACTTTGTAGTGACCATCCAGGGCTTATGTGAGTGGCTCATGGCCTTCTCAGTTCCACCAGTAAAGGGTGGCATGAAGGGATTTACCCAGGGTAAGGCCCACTCCTGCCAGGGCATCCCCAGGGCATGTTGGCTCCCAGGCCACTCTCACCAGACCTCCCCGCTGTCTCGCCATGTTCATGTGCCTATGCAGCGTCATCCTCATTCTGCTGGCTCCTGGCAGCACCGTCCCATCCGCCCACCGTGCCCAGTGTTCCCTTCTTCCTCATCACGGCCAGTTTTAACACTTCTCTCACCGGTTCACCCAGCATTCATTGAGCTCATTTATCGAGCACCTACCATGTGCCAGATGGTGACCAAAACAGACAGATTCATGCAGGGTACAAAAAGAAATAGGACAGCTGTGTGCCAGGCGGGTGCTCTGTGGGGAGGCTTCAAAGTGGCAGGCGACTTGAGGGAGCCAGTCATGTGGTGACCCTAGGTGGCGCCTCAGGAAAGGCTGCAGTGGCTTCCTGGAATGAGTTGGCAGGTCTTCCAGGCCTCACAGACCCACCTCCTTGGCCCTCATGTTCTTTTGAACCCACTACCACTGACCATGGTCGCCTTTTCTGTTGAGTTCTGTTAGTTCAGAACCCCCACCTCCCTTTGTCTTCCAGTGTCTATCTTCTGGCTCTCCAATTGTGGGCAGCACCCACCACTTAGGCCAAGTCTCATGACTTTGCCAACCTTTGCTCCTCCATCTCCCGTCAGTCCTGGACACTGCTGACCCTTGTCTGAGTCTCCTCTGCTCCAGGCAGGCCCCCGGGACCCGGATTCCTGCGGCAGCATGGCAGCTACTGTGCCTACTCCCCCTCGGTACATGCCTTCTTGAGGTCCCACAGATCTGGCAAGAGTACTCCTGCCGGAACCAGCTTTCTTGCTCTCGAATTATTTGGAATGAGGTCACTTTTGGATCTGCTTGTTCCCCTACCCCAGAGGAAGGTACTCCCTGAGTCACGTCAGGCACCCAGAAGGGTCCCTCTGGGGACCTGCACCAGGGCCATACTTCCTCGGATCGTCCCACTGTCAGGGCCTGGGAAACTGTAGAATACAGGTTCTCAGGGCTGCCATGGGGCCCCCTGAGCTCTGCTGTGGGCACAGGTCCTGGATTTATGCCTGCCTAGCCGGAAGTCATGTGATCTGGTTGTAGCAGCACATGTTCAGCCCGGAGTGCAGCCTTTCTTTGGCCTGGCCCTCAGACTGTTCCACAACCTGGGCTGCTCAGTGGCCAAACTCTTGCTCACCAGCAGATTTTCTCGACCTGTCTTGTGCCACACAGACACAGATTGTGCTGTGGGCTGTCGGGTAGGCACAGCTCCTGTCCTCAAATTCAGCACAGCCCCCAAAGGTGCTTCCGAAGCAGAGACTGGTGAGGGCCATGTGTCCTGGCGCTTCCACCCAGGGGACTGTTGTTCCTCGCCTGGCCCAGGTGGTTTTTCCTCGGCTGGGCTCCCATCTCCTAGGAATCCTCCTCCTCAGTGGGGAAGCGTGTTACGCTCTTGCTGCTGAGGCAGCAGGGCTGAGGTGTGGCGCAGAACAGCTATTCTTTCTTTCTTTTCTTTCTTTTTTTTTTACTTTTTATTTTTAAATTTCAAATATATGTATATTTTTTAGAGACAGAGTTTCACTGTGTTACCTAGGCTGGTCTCAGATTCCTGGGCTCAAGCAGTTCTCCCGCTTTAGCCTCCCTAAGTGCTGGGATTACAGGTGTGAGCCACCATGCCCAGACTTTTTCTTTTACTTTTTAAGAAGACTAGTCAAATGCAGTAGTGAGAAGGGGGAAAGAATAACAGGAGGAGTTCAATCTGTACCTGATGGGCAATTGATCATGATACTCACTGCTTCCAGGCCCTCCCAGAACGGTCCTTCTGCAGTGGCTGGTGTTGGTTTGAGTGCAGAAACCAGCCAAATGTGTGTGAAGCAGCCCTTTACCTCTCCGGGATTGATGTTGGTGGGAAGGGCTGGAATGGCCCTTCTGAGACTGAAGCCAGGTGCTCACAGGCCCCCAGGATGGGCAGGTGTGCGCGGCCTGCCCCTGCGG